CACAGAACCTTTACAGCCGTGATGATTATGTCAGCATATTCAGAAAAGACTTGACGCAATCAGAAACCAACTCCGAATAGTGAGCTAAAGTTACACATTGGAGATGTCATCTGGCGGCGGTATCGGTTGTCAGAATATCATATACATTTGCATTATTAATTGTGATTCAAGGCTTGAGTGAATAACAGTATTTGCAACATTTTTCCGAGCAGAGGAAGAAATAAAGCTTTGGCTCAGCCTTCCGCTAATCTCCTCAGCTCTCAAGGCTACTGCTAAAGCCTACACTATTTGAAGAGACGGCTTGACAACTTGTAAGTTAACAACTGCATAGTTGGATACGTAGCTGGCTTGCTAATAAAAGAAATAATCAAATTTGACTCGTTTTGCAGCTGGCTAATTAGCCAGATAACTTGCTAATTCCATCATACTTCTATGCTGCACTGGTAAATATGGCCGGCTCTCATGGTCCCTCTTCCTAACTCAACGGTGGGAAGCTACTTCCCTGGGAGGTAAGCATGCAAAGGCTCCAGAGGGAGCTAGCGTCTGCTGTCCCAGACTGGCTAAGTGTGCTGCCATTGCACGGTAATATGGTTACGGTCAATAATGGTCAATTTCTGACTGTGGATGAAGGAAACTACCGCTTAGAATAGCAAACAATCCAACAAAATGGTTCCGCCAACGTTAACCCATGTGTTCAGAGAATTATCATGCCCTCCACCTACACTCGCATCACCCAAAAATATGTAACTGTGTATACTAACAGAAAATGGGTCTTTTTCGGAAACAAATGCACATTTACAAGACATACATGCAGTGCCACAGAGACCAAAACATGCTGCAAGTTTTTCATTATTACTGACTTCTAAGCACGTGTGTGTGTGTGTGTGTGTGTGTGTGTGTGTGTGTGTGTGTGTGTGTGTGTGTGTGTGTGTGTGTGTGTGTGTGTCATTTCTGTCCTTTTTGGTGTTTTGTTACGTCCACTTGATGTACCCTACAGTCAGGCTTGCTTACAGTGGTCATGTTTCTGTCTCCTGGAGAGATACAACAGGCCTCTAAATCTAAAACAGAAGGTTGAGCCGGTCGTCTGGACCATGAGCGACTTATTTTTGTAGCGGTTTACAAAACGTGCCATAAACACAGATAAGAGCTAAGATTCTGAAACAAGAGGGAGGCCGTTTATTCCCCCCTGTTTGAACTTGCGGCTTAGACCTGAAGAAAACTCTGTGTGCGCGCTGACTGAAGAAGTGAAGGTGAGGACCAGGACAGTGCAAAGTGCAAAGCTACTCCGTCAGTCTATTCCCAGCTTTGTTTGCTGTGAGCGGGACTAACGAAGCATCCCGCCGGCAGCTTTGAAGATAAAGGATGCCGGTTCCAATAAAGCAAGCCGCTCAAACATTAACCAGACCTTCAGTCATGTCTGAAAGGTACCTATCGAACATGACGACTGAGAGAAAAACATCTCTTGTGCCTATACTGACTTGATGCATTTTCTTTCTCATTGTGACTGGTGGGCCTGTCTATGATTTGGATCTCATTTGACACATGTAAGACGACCGTAAACACCTCACCAAGGCAACGGTGAACTCCATAAAATAGGTCTGTGATATTTTATGGTCAGGGCAACTATTTCTTCGTGCAGGCACCACATTTCTCTGTGCTGCATTCCTTCATGTATGTAAGTGGCTGCACAGATGTTTGCAAAAATCTCTTTTTGATTCTGTCAGGGAAAAAAAAACCTGCACAGATCCCAGAAATGGATTTTTGCCGATGGCATTGCTGGAAAAACGTTCTGTTATCAAACTTTCCTGTAGCCGTTTCTGGAATTGTCTTAGACCTCATTAAGGTTGTGGGAAGCCATCCATGGAAGTTAGAAAAACACACCACAAACATCAGTACATGTACAGCTGTTTTTAAGTGTTTACTCATGTTCGCCCTAGCATTTTGTTGACCTGTTAGAGATTATTTTTAAGTTTAAAGAGCGCTCGCATATCACAAGGCATAAAAACAACTTTGACGTTTTTTTTTCTTTTGTCTATACAAACGGCTGTGGCTTTAAAACTCAATTATTTTAATGGGTATTAAATTAACCATGTCAACTTGTCAGCAGCACGTGTTTGCTCCTGTCAGTCAGATCCCTCTGAATAGCACCTGGGAACATTTGAGGGGGGGTTCTGAGGGTCAGAATTTTATATATAAGAGGCACAGACAAGAAAAAAGCTGCAGCTCCACTCAAATCTCCCAGTTGGCGGTTCCAGGCATATATCGTAGCTCTGATGGAGAGAACCTCCTCCAAGTTACAGATACGCTATCAATGCAGGAAGAAGAAATGTTTCTTCCCAGCAGCCTGTTGGCCCGATATTAGGGGAGTTTGGAAAACAATAATTTAAAGAGGCCATGGAATTGTCCCTGTGCCTCTCCTCGATTTTCCCGGCTCCTGTCCCTCACACTTTTTACTTTTTCCCTACTGTCGTCCTGCTGCACCTCACTCTGTCCCTGCTTTTCGCTTTGGTTCAGTCCCCAAATTCCACATCCTTCAAGCATCTTTTCTTTTTCTTTTTTTTGTAATCCAGCCAGATTATTATTTAAAACATCTCCCTTTTTCATACTCAAATAGTTTGAACATGAAAATGCTCAAATTGAGCGGGTTAGTTCACACTACTGCGGTTGATGCATGTAAACTGAGATTGACGCGTGTCTGCGTTGTGTCTGCGGTAAAAGCCACTGAACTATTTGCACGAGAAGCTGCCCCTTCTGCTGCGATGAGTCAATAACCCAAATGGATGGAGGCACACACACACACACACACACACACATATACACACACACACACTCACACTGGGGCGCCCTCTAAGAATCCTGATGGAAGTAATCAACAAAGTGCACTTCAGGAGAAACACATGAGAAAGACCTTTTTCTGTGTTCGTGTCTTTTTTTGTTTTGTAGTGAACAGCTTACATCAGTTCCAACACCACCCGGTGCCAGAGCTTTTATTTTGGTGCACACAAACACTTCTGTGCTAACTAGAACCTCGTGAGAGTCTGGAGACACGCTGCTTTCGTTAAGGAGGGGACGACAAAAAACTGGATTTCGGTGTGATCACAAACGTTTCCCCCACTAGATGCAACAAACATCTGTTTGTTACTACAGGATACTATTTGTGGGAGTTTATCGGGATCTCCGCCTCACCTGATTCATTTTTTTCAAGCCTCTATCTCTGTACATTTTGCGTATATTTTTTAAAAAGCTGTAAATTCAATCTCCCTCTGAGTGCTGAGACATTTGAGCACCATCTGAATGCTAGGAGTTTAGCTGAGGCAATATTGGGCCTCTAATGTTATTATACCAAATAGGAATTCAAATGCTGTTTGTGTAAATGCTTCAGTAAGCATGATCTTCAATATAATGAGGCCCTCGACTACTTTTTAAAAAAAGTGACAAATGTAAAACTGCATTGAAGGCATTGTTCACCTGACTTAACTTGTCAAGTTTTGATTTGAGAGTAAAATCAATTTCCTTTATTTATTTTGCACATAAAGTGCTTGAGTATTTGAGAATCTGCTTAAAACTGTGCCAGAGCTGTACAAATGGACGACGTCGGCAAAACAAAAAACCTTTTTTTAAACATCTGCTACGTGTCAAAGTGGCTGACGTGTGCCGTGACCGTCAGTATAGAGTCGTATTTCTTCCTGCAGCAGACTGGGGAACATAAAGCGAGTCACTCTGAGGCTTCAGTCTCTATCAGCAACATCTTTCCGTCAGTTTCCTCGCGCTGACCCTCCTCCCCGTGAACCTTTTTATCAGCAGCAGCCGGACCAACATTAACGTACCGTCAGCATTCTGTCCAGTGATTATAATGAAATTAAACTCAGGAACAGCAGCAACAAGAAACACTATTTCATTTAGAATACAGCAACATAATTCAGCAATTTCATCAAATGATCTTCTCTAACTGTATCCAAAGATAAAAACCTGAATTAACACAAACCTGGCTTGTGTTCTGCAAGGTACTACAGGTTCATACATGTGTCTGTGCCAGGTTCTAATAAAACTACTGTAACCGACCTGTCGGCTGTCAGACACAAAGAGCAGATAAGATCAGGGATTCTTTTGTTGCCGTTGTTGTTTTTACACCTGCTTTCTTTTAAGGTTGGAAAATTGTGAGTTGCATGATGGTGTATTATATTTTATCAGGGGGGTTTTAACTGCATAATGTGAATGCTCATTATGAACATATCTGAATAAAAGTATAGTTCTCTATTTTTTATTCACAATTTAAAACATTTTCACTATTTAAAAATGTACAATTAGTAAAAGAGATTTTAATATCTTCGAATAAAATCACACTTTATACATTTGTAATACTACAATCGTTTTGTTCTACAGTAACACACGCTTGATACTGCATTTCTGAATAATTTTGAAGAGTAAAAATGTGCTTAGAAAATAAATTTAAAGGAAAAAAAGGAGCTGTGTTGAATTACCAGTGCGGGGAGTTTGTTAAAGGATCTCTGAGATGAATTAAAAGGCTTCGCTTCATCGCAACAATTAAGTGGAGCAAGTGAGAAATGTTCCCGTGGACGACGAGGAGCCGCGTTCCCGTTTGAAGCGGTTCAAATGTGTCCTGTTATAAATTAAATGGACTTTTCAAATTTCATTTCCACGTCGCGCAGGATTTATCCCAATGATATACTCGCCGCCGAACGAGCATATCTTACACACTGTTAGATCTGGTTTTGCTTAAATATTGGTTTGAATTTATTGCCAAGCTTTACAATTATGATGATACAATTATTTTAATAACCATATAAAATATAATCAAACCTATAATTGTGCATGCCTGGAATTCACTTGACTCTAATTAATATCCCCCCCCCCCTTTCTTTGTGAAATATGCCCACTGTGAAAACCCCGCCAGTCCCTCCGCGCGCCATAAACACAACCCGCACCACGTAAACTCTAGTTCCCGCTCCGCTGCAGACACTCGGATGGTTCGGACTTACCGACACACTCGTTGGCCTCGCGGGCCGTGGCTCTCTGCCACGGCCTGTCGTAGTGGAACGGCTTGCACCTGTCGCACTCCGGCCCGCCGGTGTTGTGCTTGCACTCGCACACCAGACCCCCGTCCCGGTCCTTCACGCACCGGGACGCGTGCCCGTTGCATTTGCACCTCCCGCCGACCTGCAGATCCGACACGGCGTAGAAGTACGAGTCCCGCGCCACCTCCGAGTCGTCCTCGTTCTCGTCGCCGAACGTGTGCAGCCGGCTGAAGATCACCTTGACGTCGGTGGCCGTCACCCAGTCCTGCAGCACCGGGGAGTTGTCGAAGTCGTGCGCCGACGGCCTGCCGTCCAGCGTGCTGAAGGCGATGAGCCCGCCGGTCAGCGGGTACATGTCGGTGTGCGAGTCCGTGCAGACCGCCTCCTGCTCGTTCTGCTTGGTGATCGCGGCCCTGTTGGGCTTGTTGTACATCTTCCTGCACTGCGTCGAGTAGAACTGAAAGGGCACCCACGTCTTGCCGTAGTCCATGGACTTGTAGATGACCATGGACTCGGGTCGGGGCGAGCAGAACTGCAGGCTCACGTAGGTCACCTCGAACTTCTTGCCCAGCGACAGGGTCAGCGTGACGTTCTGCGGGTACTGGACGAAGTTCTCCGACTGCCAGCAGGTGAGGTTGTGCGGGTTGTTGAGGTCCGTCAGGTACGCCGGCGGGCGGCACTTCTTGGGGTCCGAGGCGTCGCACGTGTGACAGCTCCTCGTCCTCTCGTCCCCTTTCTCCGCCGCCGTCACCACGCAGTAGCGGCCGGGCGTCTTGCCGCAGGAGCTGGACGCCCTCACGTCCTTGCCGAAGGCGGCGTTGACGAAGTCCGGGATGCAGCGGCGCGGGTTGCCGTGCTCGTCGTTGCAAGGGTCCGGGGGGGAGGTCTGCGCCGCGAACAGGCTCGCCCCGTAGCCGCCGAGCGCGCTCCGGCACGACAGGGACGCGGCGAGCAGCACCGCCAGCGCAACGTCCACGGCCCTCATCGTGGAAGGTGTCCCTCGGTTCCCAAGTGGCTCTGCCGGCTGGGGGGGGGGGCGTGGGGGGAGGACACACGAGGGAGGAAAGGAGACGATAGTCGGGGCAGAGAGGGAGAGAGAGTTAAGTTTGGCGATGCAGCAAACATTCCCCACATCATCCCCCCCAAAACACTGCAACACTGGGTGTAAAAGTGGCATTTACTTCACACACATGGCCATTTATTTTGTTGCGAAATTTCTGGATAAAGCTTACTTTACCTGAGAATTATTTAAAGACAAATTAATAATTTTCCTCCTAACGGGCTCCAATCACGGCTTGTCCCGTTTTCCTGTATTGTTCCTTCGAAAAAATAAAAAAATAAATCTCCTGCGCAAAAGCAGAGGAGCGGCTGGATTTTAAGAGTCGCTGGTGTCCTTATAGCAAGTCCTTCCTTCCACAACCTCTCTCTATCTCTCTACCCCCTCACTCCCTCTCCCTCCCTCTCTCTCTCTCTGTCTCTGCCCCCCTCTCTCTTTCGGGTCGGATCTTGCTTGGCACAGCTCTTTGGTCAGCTCATCTAGAAGGGGTGACACCGGGGGGGGGACATCAGCGGTCAGAGGATCGGACACGCGCGCAGACGCAGATGGAGATGAGAGGAAAAAAATGTGTGATGCGTTGATTTAGCGCGTTCCCCACCTTCATCTCCACGCGCCACCTGGATCGCGTTGTGACAGTTACAGAACAAAACTATCGTTATGCTTTTATACCGCGGTGATACTGATCATTCTCTGGAATTTTCCGATGTTTTTCTAGAGCTAAGCCTTATTTATACCAGAAATATAATGATGGCGCATTTACTATAATGAAAATAAAAAATGTTTTTTGTTGTTGTTCAAACCCATCAATGCATCACACCATTTGAAGTGAAGATTTCCCATCGTCGCTCAACCTGTTGAATGCTGGCAAGAGTGGCAAGAGCGCCATCTGGCGGCCATAGAAGGAAACCCCACCTCCGCCTGGCTGCCTGAGATGAAGTGGTGTCTTCTACTTCTCCCAGGCGGTGGAGGCAGAACACCGTCTGCTGATTGGCTATATTCTATACCGACAGAGTATTCTGAGATACTTTCACTTTCAGAATCAATCATTTTGATCAGTTGGAAGACCCTCTCCAACAGATGAGGATGTTGATTGTAATAAATTAATATAAATAATAACGTAACTGTTGTTGTATAAGAATACAAAGTTGGCCTATAATACTGAATATATTTGATACTAATTATATTTAAAATATTGAATAAGTGATTTTTAGACATTAATTAAAAGTTAGGACTACCAATATTATGTAAATAATTAACCATGGAATAAAGCTGTCGCACAATTAGTGCATATGGCGAGAACAATACAAACGAAATCCTTTATCATCAAAATGTTATGTTCTACAGCTGCTGGTCCTCTTGCTGTTCATACGTGTTGAAATGTGAGAGAGTGTTAACAACACTTACACCTATTCAGCCAAACCACAGAAAACAACTGTTGCCATGATACAAGGTACATTTAACATTCAACCAAATGTGGTGAATCAACTTCCCTATTTGAAAAATAATCTAGAAAGGATCCTGTCAAAGCTCGGTGAACGCTTCCATAAGGAAATTTAAAAATGGAGAAGTGAAATTGGAATTGGAAAAAAACAACCTCTGGGCAATCGTCGGTTTTTTAAAACACATTTAAGTAAAACCAAAATGCTACATAATGGATCTGTTGCAAGTATCAGGAGAAAACACGTGTTGGTTAACAAAATCGACATCTTTGCAACTGACCAAAAATAAAGTCGGTGGGCAGAAATGAACTGAACGGAACGGATGTGATTCCCTTTTTCCCCCTTTCTGTCTCTCTGAGGCTTTTCTTTGCATTGTTCCTTGGTTCAGGTTCTTTGTTTACCTGCTCCCCATCTTGTGTGTTTCTCCTCTATTTCATGCTGTATTTTATTTATATTTCTCTTGCTCGGTTGGGTCTGCTGTCATTCAGCCGTTTTTCAGTGATCTCACCTCTTATATATGGGAGGCCTCAGCGCCTGGAGTTTGCTGTTGAAAGCAGCAAAATTTTTGATGTCATGTGACGCCATGAAGCTCGTGACTATTCAATTGGCAACAAGCCGCTATTGCAGGGAGACCAGTTTGGATTATCAATCCTAGTACAACCGGAAAGTAATAATTTCATCCATTAAATTCATTTATAACCCACTCCTTTCGTCATCATAATTTGTATTTTTTTCCAAAATCCACCTATGCTTGTCCTGAAGAATAGATACAAATCTAATGCTGTAGACTAAAGTATTGAAATCAGTGTTGTTCATCCACATTATGCTGTATTCCAAACCAGCTTGAAAAAAAAAACGTTCCTGTTTACTGTCACCGTTCAGTATGACTACATTTCTCACACTTCAAGAGAAGGGGAATTCATAGTCGCACTAATACATGAAATGTAAATGACAGGCAAAGCAGGAGGAGGAAGGTAAGAGTTGCCCTCACACGCACACACAGAAAAAAAGTGTCAATTCACAATTGTTTATTTTGAACGGAAGCCGATGATTTAACTTCTTTTTTCATTTGCATCGTTGGTTTGGAAATGTTGATGCTTTTCTTTTTAATACCTAGAAAACAAAAGCTCCTTTTTGTTCATTGTGTTAAGACAACTAAGCCCCGTGAAACTTTCCCAAAGTCCCAAACACACTTTACTTAGAAGTGTGAAAATAGCACAAAAACCAACACGACAAACAGACGACTTCCTTTTAGGGGCACACATCCCCTCATGATCCACATGCAACCTCTCTCTCAAACACACACACACACACTGTTGCACTTCCCACCTATACCCAGCAGCAGCCTCCCTCATTGTGCTCACATGCACCTCTTTCATCCACTTCCTGTTTGTGAGGCGCAGTGTGTGTCTGCGTGCGTGTGTGTGTGAAGTGCAGGAGCCTCCGAGCAGCGGGGAGATCTACAACCAGAACTCTTGCTTCGCCCAGGATGTGGCTTTGCCTGTTACACTCACGTGTGCGGTGAATGAATGGCTGTGGTACCGAGCCGGAGACACGTTGCCTCGGACTATTCAGACACACACGGAGGACCTGGATGCCGGACGCTTAACCGCAGGTAAGCCAACGGAGGCATGGGCATTTTATTTTGAAGGGCAAAGGGGCTCCCTGCTGGTGTTTGCATCTACATAGATAGAGAGGTGCCGAGTATCTGAGGATGGAGGCTTTCAAAATGTTCAGCTTCAATCCATCTAATACGACGGTCAACTGACGTCTTGGTGACTTTTGTCCTTTTAGCTGGTTGGTCAACTTTAATTTGATTCAGACGCTTCATGTGTTTTCTAAGTTAATTCCTCTGCTCTGTGAAAGCCTCGACGGTCTTGTGTTCTGTCGCAGGGTCTGATGGGCACCGTCACCCGCAGCACTGATGGGAATGCAGGGCTGTGGCCGTGTTGAGAGACCCCCGCCCCACCTCTGTGTTACCACAACTTCTGTTTTTTGCACAAGCTCTAAATGATTCATGCTTTTAATAAACGCTGAGGAAGTACACACGCAGAAGCACGTGTCAGTCTGCTGGACGCTGTCTTACTTTAAAATTCTACATCTGCAAATGGGAACAATTCCATGAGCCGAGTTCTCTGTGGAAGGGAGACATCTGTGTCCGATGTAACCAGATGCAAGGAATGAACCGGTTTCCGATTGACAGGCAGACAGGAGTCTCTGAGGACTCCACCCCGTTGAAACTCAGCTGAGCCAACGCTTGAGCTCAGCATGACATCTTAATACAACAACCAACCGCTTGAACATTTTCGCTCGAAAAGGTGTCTCGCATAAAGATCTGAGATTAGGGTCCTTTCACTTTACGAGTATAAGTCAATTTGAGTTCACATCAGATTGTTCAATTTCCGCCAGTGTGGCTTTGCAGGATTTGAAGTCAAGACCTCAAATGCTTTGTTTTTTTTCGTGATTCAGACTCAACTCCGAGCCTCAAGTTGCAGGTGTGTATGAGATGGATAAACTTCACCTCTACAGCCATGACATAAATACTGCCCAATGTTCAATGCACACCCTTTCTCTCTTGGTGGTGGTCTACTACTCTTATTAAAAACCATTACCATCCTTTTTGACCAAATAAACAGCGCGAGCCTTAAATACGCCTCCTCCGCTGCCAGATGACGACAGCGGTACGGATCCTCTATTCTTCTTAGAAATTGTGAAAAATTGCACAACCTCAATCTTCTTTTCCTGTTTAGAAATAGCAACTGCTGTAGCAGGTGAACACGCATTGAACAGAGTCGGCCTGCTGTTTATACCCGCGACGCAGTCGCAGTGAGTTGTTTTTTTTCGTTCATATCTAGCGCTGTGCGTGTAATTCACAACGATGCTTCCTGTTTGTCACAACAGGGACTTTGAGGTCAACACCACCGTGCATGCGTGTGAAGGTATGCTCAACTCACCTGTTGCACAATATAAAATGTGTGTGGGGCCTTTAAGCGCCTTTTTTAAAATTGCATTTCTCTTAACCCACATCACATGTAAACAAATGTAGACGTATTTTGGCGTTTCTCTTGAGATCCTGGGTACTTGCTTCCTCATCACTTGTTTGAACGCTCACAGAACCCGTGAGAATTCGGGAGGAGGAAGCACTCCGCCTGTTGGTGTAGGAGAGTTGTCTTTGTTGGTTGGAGTTACGAGCCCTTACCTGATATTATAGCACCTCATATTTGCATTAATGGCGGTTTTCATGGCGTCATTATCAGGATTTATTGAGGAAGCAAAGACCATGCGGAGTTCGTTACAGAGCATCCTCTTGGATTGCCTTTATCGCAGCTTCAGCTCGTGGAACTTACATCAAGGGCTCAATTCTGTACTCGAGGTCCTTCGCTTTCTCTCTTTCTCCCACTGCTTCCCTGTCCTCATAAGGTGAAGTAGCCCCCCCCAAACAGAACCAAAGTAAAACAAAGGAAAAATCATCTCACAGTCAAAGCAAATATAGGATTTATTTCCTGAAGCTTCCTGCAGACAAAAGTGGAACTTCAAAGTTCATCCATACTGAGACATTCATTCCTCACGGCAAGAAGACGTTCTTCAAGTGACCGAAAAAGAAAAATTGCAAATGTCAACATGCACAACCTTCCATGGCAGCTGGGAAAACGCTACGCCGCTGAGGATGGTGTGATGTGATTGGCTGACACAAAAGGTTTCTGCTGAGCGTGAGTGTGAGTGGGTTGTTGCTGCACACCGGTCCACTCGGACGCGTGAGTTCCCACCGTCCCGCCATTTGCGCCGAAGGGAAACACTTAGTTACAGGAGAGCTTTTGAGTCGGGCCGCTGTTGTTTCCTAAAAACCATGAGAGGTGGGTTCACATCCACGAGGTCACTGGAGAGAAAAGGGCGAGGTGAAGACTGCATGTGAATATCAAGACTCTTATTGATCGTAAAAAATGAATCACGTCCACAGTGCACACTTTAGAGCACTATCCCCGGGTCCCCGGGTCTGTGGGAGTGTATCTGAGTGTCCGATCACACCGTAACAATAGGGAGGCACCTGCTTCCTCAGCGGAGCAGGGAAGCCGTCTTCCTGTGAGGAAGCCGTTGGTAATGGGATCAGATGGGAAGCGGCCCTTGAGGAGATGGAGGGAGAAAGGAGGGCACAGGTGGAGGTGCAGTGCCGGGACCACACAGGTTTTGCCTGCAGATGATCCTTGATGATGACGAGGAGGAGGAGGAGGGAAGGATTTCCCCGGTGTCTCAGCAGGGAGGGGTTGATCCTGTGTGGATCTAGTTGTTCTTCCTCTATACAAGCGCTGCTTGTTATTGTCTGACTGTTGCCAGTTGCAACCCATGAAAAAGTGGAAGTGACCTTGTTGACTCGTCTGCCGCATACATCCTCTTATGAAACAACGCAGACTCATGCATTTGCCACACGATTAAGAACTGCGTAAACAAAAATGGGTTCGCTCTGGGGCCAGAATTGACTTATTCTGTCAAAAATTCCAAATTAGGGTAAATGGTCGAGTAACAGTCACAAAATGCAGCGCTATTAGATTTCTCGCTCTTATTTTATGTCCAGCTATGTCGTTTTTCCTCAACGTTTTCATTGTTGCAGCATGAATCAGCAGAATTACTAGTTGATTAACATCAGATCAACACTTTTACTGCATCGTGCCACCTCCATAAGAACCTCTTTTCATCACCTTTTATCACCTCTAAGCGTCTCCGCTGAACCCCGTCCTGAATGAATGCAGCAGTCGTCACGACTCTGACTTATTAGTTCCTTCCACTCTTGAGCCGGGCTCTCGTCCAACTCCGTCCGAGCCTGACAATGACCGGAGCTGTCAGCGCGAGCTCTATACCTCCACCCGGGACAACCCTCAGACACAATACCTCCCTGGGGAGTGTGGAGCGGGGGGGGGGGTGAAAAAGGGGCTTTTGGTGTACCTGGGATTGTTGTTGAATGGCAACAGTGGTAATGGTGGATGAATGAGCTTGATTCCTCTGCAGTCCTGAAATCCTGCCCCGCACCCCCCGCCGGGGTTAATGAGGTCGGATGTTTGCACTGTGTGTGTGTGTGTGTGTGTGTGTGTGTGTGTGTGCATAATGTGCGTATTAGCGTGCTTGTGTGAATATATGAACAATGGTTTGTGTAACGCTTGCAACAGTTCAATAGGTCTTCCGAATAATCATTTGAAGTCGAGACGCCACAGGCTGAAGAACACATCTAGAATACACATGGATGTTGCATATTCATTTCAATAAACATTGTCTATTTGCATTTGTAGATTTCCCCTAAATTAAATTTGCATTTTATAATGGCTCGTTTGCATATTTTGACACAACATTTCCAAAATCTTGTAATATTATTCGGAAATTGTCTCGATGTTCAACTGGGAAAGTTATTTACGGTGGTATCCTTCACCTCCTCGCCAGCGTTGTCAAAAGTATGCCGAATTGTTTCATTTTAAATTAGTTTGTTCTCACTCCAAGCCCAAAAGCTTTACTTTAGCACTTACATATACCAAACTGTCCGCTGCCATTCCTGTTGTGAGGGGTTTGATCATATGTATTAGCCAGATCTATGTTTTTTTTAATGAACATTGATCCCATTAGTAAAAAACATATGACTTTCCGCTCAATATCAACAAGATATTGCCTCCAGTATTTAAAAACAAATTGCCAAACTTACTGCATCAGTAATCAACTGGGTTTCACATTGCTGTCTGTTATTTCAACTTATATAAGGTATGTTTTTTCAATAGAAATGAGAATAATTATAGGGTAGGGCAGGGTCATTTGATGCCGGGCTCCACTGATCCATTGTCTTTGGCAACAACACTCAAGAACAACACTCATTGTTCACACGTGTTGTGTGAATGAGTATAAATAATTGGGCAGGTTGGTGTATGACGGGGTATAGATGTGTGAGCGATTACACGTAGTGTCAAAGCCCTCATTGGTCGGGAGAAAATAAATAAATATGTATATAATATAAGCTAAAGTTAAGTAAAGTTAATTTATTTTAAAATGATCATTGAATCTAATATCACATAGAATATTGCAATTCCAATGTCAGTCACAATGATTGCAATAAAGTATATTTTCTTTCGTTTATTTTTTAAAGGGAATTTATTTGAAAAGCCATATTATCATATACATCACAGTAACATGGATTTTTAACAGGTCAATTCAGTGTGTAAATGGCCCACAAGAAAGTTCAACCTGACCTCCTTTTTAAATGGCACATAGTGTGGGGGTTGTTTATTGTAGTAGGTGGATGTGCAGGAACAAGTCATTTATTAACACCATTCATCTAACAGCCTTCATTTATTTATGGCTTTAATTTCAAATGGGGAATTTGTCGGTCGATGGGGGAAAGTTTTAAAAGTGGTTATCGGGTTCTTGATGTCATTGCTCATTTCTGTCTGTGACACATTTGGCTCCCATCAACCTCAGATCAACATGATTACATTTTTGAGAATTTCTTTTGAGAATCCTTAAAAGCTTCTTAGGGGAAGTAAAGTTGTTCTGTTCCCAAATTAGGAAGTTCCCCATGGCAAAAGTCTAAAATGAAGTAAGGCTGATTATTTATATATATACATATATAGCATGGACATAAGGAAGGAGCATGCAGGATCTTCCATCTTCCAAGATTTGACTTTATCCTGATAACATTTATACCTTGTTTCATGGGTCCAGTGTTCATATTAAGATCAACAATCCAGCAATGCACAGGGCGTCATACTGTACACCACATTGTGTTGGCCTCAATCTGCGTCTGTACAGACGTTAATCTTTGGGTTGGATCGATTCAGCTGCACGCTTGTTCCCCCACAAGTAAAGCTGTACTTTTTTCAGGGAAATTCCAAAACCTTACAATGACGTAGTTACTAATGGAGAAGTGGTCAGTGTAGGTTTTCACCACATGTTTAGATTGAAACATTTTCCTTCATTGATGAAACCTGAGTCGACTTGGTTTGGCTCTAACGGGGTCGCAGACTCACCCAATTCAGACTTTGTCGTTAAACAGCCGTCGACATGGGTGTTTATCACCTGAGAACATGAATCGGTCACTCAGACCTTTTTAAAGTCACAGATGGGACGTCCCTGCTGTCTCGTTTTGCATAACTCCTCTGATGAGATAACAGAACTGAAACAACTTGCCACACCTGGGTTTTTCTCAGATGCACGATAAACAGGCAAGTGCACGGTTAAACTGAAAGATATAAAAGTGAAGGTTAGCCGGTTTGGATGAGTCATTCTGGAAATATAAAGTTAACTGTTTTTCACCATCTCTCGCTGGTCAATAGCGGGTTTTCCGAACTCCTGAGAGTGGCACTGATTTAAAAACCTAAATCATTGGAGGGTTTCTTCTTTCTTACCCGTCATACGTTAAAGCCATGCGGTTAAATGTGTGCGCTTGGGTTTGTGCCTACACATTGCTGTTAGCTCTCTGTTTTGTTTCTTAAGCTACCAGAGTTCGATCAGAGTTTTGATCGCTCTTCCTTTGTGAGCTTTGTGGCTGTTTTTTGTTGTATTATTTAACATTTGAATACAACACAGACCGCGTTAACTAATGTGGCTCATATTTGAAAGACTTTTTATAAAACTTTCATTGATTTGATGCTGAACAGGCGTCCTACCATGTGTGATGTGACATATCCGCTACTGTGGTGCAGGGCACAGTGTGTTATGGTTCGTGTGTCTGCTTAGACTTTTTTACATACTTATCCGGTTATCTGCCTTAATGCAAAAACTGACCAGATAGCGCATAGTGTCCATGAATAGAGAGGAAGATGTGGACATTACATAACATGGACATAAGACTGTATTCCACCGAAAGCATGACGTAAATGTAGTATATTGTTTTACCTAATGTGGGCTCTGTGCCGTGTCGCTCCACAGAACCTGAGCGGAGAAGATGCAGCACACCTCATGCACGGAGGACAGGATCCAGCACGCTCTGGACCGCTGTCTGGACGGGCTGAGACAAAGCCCCACAGCAGCACAGCACTGGAACGGTGAGACATCAGCTTTGGAAGAACAATGTTCATTTTCAGTTAAAACCTTTTTAGAATCCACTTTCAAAGGAGAACCTCACACAGAAGCAGGCTGCAGGGTGCAGGGATGGCAGCCCCTAGTGGTGAGGTTGCACATTGCAAGCAAATACAACTTTCGCTCTGCATTTGTTTGGCGGCCGGCTCCATGCAAACGACCAGCTCAGTATATAAATACAAGCAACTCATTCTAATGCCACAACTTCTTATTTTCAGGTGATGATCAACTAAAGAAAACACCCTTATTAATGCTTTATTTAAATTCTGTCCATTGATTCCCTGAAATGCTTCAAACGGTTCCATAGGATAAAAATCAGCCCTTTAACCACAAAGGTTTTGTCATGTCAGAGCAGGAGGAGTACAGTTGTATTCATTAACATTGTTGATGGCTGTATTTCACGGGAGGCGCTCATATTGTGCGTGCCGGCTCTTTGGATAGCTTATTCTGACACGTAATAGAACTGAGCTGTTGGTTCAAAACATTAGCTTTTATCTTTATTGTCACAGCACAGCTTAGCAGAGTCCAGCCGTCTCACTGACCGACCTTTCATTGAGTCAAACCTGTGACTCGCTGTTTCTAGGAATAAATACATATATACATACATTTAAATGTGAAATGTGCTCCGGCAGAGAGAACGCTAGTAAGTTTTCTCTTTCTTAACACGAGGACAGAGACGGACGGCGTGTGTGCGTGCGTGCGTGCGTGCGGCCTACGGCTGCTGTTGCTGTTGCTGTCAGGTCATTGCGAAGGGATTGTTTTTTGGGGCGCTGGAGGACGATGTGTGAATAGACAGCTGGGAGGAAGTGGTTGGCCCAGACCGCAGTGTGAGGCATCATGGGGCAGGAGACGCTGTGGTGCACGAAGATTGAATCCGCATCATGTAAATCGTGCCCGATAGAGTAGCGCACAATTACACATTTACATTTTAAACATGGCAGCTGAAGCCGGAGTTTTTCATGTTTCGTTCTCCTCTTCACTGCATAACTCCATCCCCTGTTTGGAGGATTTGTATGTTGACAGCGTGTCTGATTACATTCATCTAAACTTAACTACTCAAATAACCAAACATACTCATCTGAAGAGGAGCATTTGAAACTTTCAGCTTCGTATCCAGCGCTGACACCTTCAAAACAAGCCTGCGGGGCTCTTGAGTAAATGCACAAACACAATGTTTGGAGATGTAAGATAGGACTCCCGTGTGCAGAGAAGCACAACAACCGACGTGTTTCTTAGAAAACATTGCTGCGTACCTCGAACAAGTGCTGATGTGTTACTTCCTGAGCTCCTCGGAGGTGCAGTCGGAGCCGTTGAGACCGAGGGATCAAATGGAAAGTAAGGCGCTCGCTCGCGAGGAGCAAGAAGCCTGTTGTTTTTGTGTGTGAGTCTGATAGAAGTCAGTTGGTGTGGTTTGAGATATTCTGCTCCCGGGACTGTGCTGTTGTTTTAGTTTCCATCTCACACTTTTTATGCTTCCAACAGAAAGTTTCCTGTGGGCCGGTTGTGATGTGTGAGTCGAGTTTTCCTCTATTTTGTTGTTGTTGCAGACTCCTCTTCATTTTCCCCTTTGTCCTGAAATTTTTTTATTTTTATCAAAGTCATAGGGGAAAAGATACCTTTTAACCTGTTTTCTTGCAACAGGAGAAAAACAAACCTAAAACACCCCTGACATCGGACTTTAAAGCTCTGCTCTGACAGCTGAGTATTGTCTCATAGCCAGCAAGATTTCTGAAGCCCACTTTATAATCAAGGCGCTGTGCATACGCAGGCATTAGATGCACTTTCATTCTATCATTTGTTTGATTTTAAAACCGGAATGAAATGCTTCGTATCCTCCGCAGTTACAGGTTGCAATACATAATTATGCATATTTCATATCTTTGGTCAGATAACGTTGAACAAACTATCCGATCAGCAATGTAGTGATACATTTCTTGTGCTTTCAGAGTGTACATCAACCACATTTAGCCATCATAAAATAGAAAGTATATTCATAGTGGTGGCCAGATGCAGATAAAGCTCTAAAAACTCCCTCGGCGCTCAACAAAAGCGTGCAGCAAAAAGGCACCCAGCATCAGAAGTGCGTCTGCTGAAACACAAATAGCTTTTCGGATTTCCTGCCCAGGCTCGTGGCACTGCCGCATGTGCCACTGTTTATTAAGTTTCCTTAGTGATGGACACGTTTGCTGCAACCCTGAAAGCACACAGTCTTAATAGATGCATGCGGACACTGAAATTGCATTCTGCCGCAGAGGAAACCGCTAATGACCAGATTTCACAGAAACTTGATGTAAGGGTTTAACGTGGGCCAAGGAGCACTGCTCTCACTCTCAGCTCCCTTTTATATTTAATGAAAGTCGTTAAAAAGCCAGAACCTGAGAGTTTAGAGTGTGACAAGCAACCAAAGCGTTGTGGTGAGTTGAAGCATGTGTCGGTTTAACACGAATCCCCCCGCGTGCTTCTTTCAGTGCTGATGTGCTCGACGGGTCAGTCAATGAACCGCTGGAGCCTGGAGGAGCTGGTGAAGAGGGACCCGGACAACTCCCTCATCCTCTTACAACAGATCATAAGGAAGACCAAAGAGGTGAGGGGTCAAAGGTCAGAGAGGGAGCGTTGAAACTTCCGAATGGTTAGCCTGATCAACCTCTTTGTCTTTCTGTCTCAATGTGCTTGAGTTCAGGTGCAGGAGCAGTGTCAGTACGAGCTGGTGGCTCCGCTCGCTATCATGTTCACCTCCACGTTGCTTCAGGTACATCCAGATGTGGTGAAAACATCTCCCCTCACCACTCAGTACCAGTCAGTGTTGTGCATGTGCCCTCTTGGGACCTCTGTGGGTTGCTCAATACAAACCAAACTGAGATTTTTCAGGTGTTATCGCGTCAAAAGCACAATTGAAAAACACCGAAACGCAACTTTTTATAAATAAATTATTTTTGGTTGGAACCGAGAATCTCAGAGATCAATTTCAACTACTGATGTTGAGGTGTTGCAATGACGGGACACATGATTGAGTAAAACAGTGGCCAATGAAATGCATTGTTGTTACACCAAGCTTATAAATTATCTGACACATCATCATCACATTATACTTTATATACATTATACTGTGTTAAATTAAGTACTAATATAGTGATTGAATAGAAGAGTTTTCTAACTATTACAAAAAAGAATAACAGGTGATAAAAGGGAGACACTTAAGATGAAAAGGGTAAAACATTATATTACGGTCATTCTTTTTTGCAATGCAAATGTTCTTAAATGTTTTGTCTATTGTTTAAATTAAGACTTAAGAGAGATTTCAGGAGACTGTAGGAGTCTACGACAAAGTCGTAAAAGCAACACCTAATTTGTATTTAGAAAACAACATTTTAGCACAGTATCTACCTTAGATGTGCTAAATAGGTATAATACATCACCAGGTTTAATTATAAATCTAAATGATATTATAATAATGAGTTATTCCATTATCCGTTGCTGTGAGGAGAACAATAACTGACGTGTGCCCCGTTGCAGACACCATACTGTCCTCCAGATGCAGAGCTGCTGGAGGAAGCTGTTGAGGTGTTTCGCTGCTTCCTCACATGGCCCGAGCCGTACTGCAGTGTGTGTAAACACCTCCTCAGCACACTACAGCTGGAGATGAAGGCCCCAGGTAAATATAGATTTACATCTAGCTTTGCTCTGCCACTGTATGTGGGTTTTGTGTGACACTGTACGTGTCTATTTCTGCACACGGTCTCCGGAGCCCTTCACTTGTCTTGCAAGCCTGGTAGAAGCCCTCCCTCTCCTGACGAGTCACAGAACTGCATTTATGTTGTGGCACTAATGCCAGAAACACTGCTGGCAAAACCATCGGTGACAGCAAGGAGACTTTAAGACTTAAGGATTAAGTCAAACGGGGTACTATCTGAAAGCCAACTTCAGCATTTACAAAACAAACCATTTGACCCTTCCGAAGGCACCGCATGCTGTACTTGAATTGTTGCATTTCTTACATTTTGTGACTACAATGTTAAGTGATATTTTGAAGACTGAAGCCATCACGGATTTGTGAGGGCCCCAAGGGGTTTTTACCTAATTTATGACTTTTAAGACACTCCCTTGAGTTAATTTAAAATGTTTCTAATTGAAAGGGAAATAAGATTAGTAATTTAAATACGTTTCCTGATTAAAAGCAAAAAGGTAATTACATGTATGTGAGTTACTGTTGCTCTTTGAATTGAATTACACCCCAAGAATAAATTGCATTATTGTAGAGTTAATATATATATGTTGCATCTAGCAAAATGCAAACGATTAAGATATATGCATATAAACTATGCTTTATATGGCTCAATAACTTTTTTATCTATGATGTTTAGTGAAGTACAATACTTTAATAAATATTTGGGTAAAAGTAAAACGACCAATTAAAAAAAACACACAAAAAGTTAGTGCACACAAAATGAACTTTGTTTGAAAGTCAAATTATGTTTGACTTTCAAACCCATACTAGCAGCTTAATACTTCTATAGGTTAATACTTCTGGACACGATGAGCTGCTTGACATGATGATGCTGTGATGCCTGTAACTTTTAACTAATAACACTGGGTTCTTGTCAAGTTGTCGATTTTAGAAACCATGAATAGAACAGAAAAGGAATGTGATTATTTTTCTTATTTCCTTACAGGGCTTTCCTTTCAGAGACTTGTGAGAGAAGAGCAGTTCCTTAACACCTCCGGCCACAGCTCCAAGACCATGTTAGTCCACACAATAAAACAAACTGTACTTTCTATCGACTATAGAATATACAAAATGTGCTCTATGTATTCATTATTTAGGATCTGTGGTAGAATGAATGCTCTTTGATTTCTCGTGCTCAACAGTTAAAAACAGTGAAAAACCTTCTCATTGATATGCGGCCATATCCTAAGGATCTATGTCAAGTGCTCTTTTCTTGTTTTAAAAGGGTCAGAAGTTCCTAGTAGCTTTAACTGATCTGACACAGTATATTATGGTATTATTATTACAAAAGAGAAAGAAGTTGTACACAAAACAGAACTGGATTATAAAGTGGTTAGCACATCCTGACCCGAAAAGTCCCTTTTCATCAACCTCGACTCACGCCACCGCCGTGCGCCACCACCACATGAACGTGCCGACGTGTAGCTGCACTAGCAGTGACTTCCTCCTTGTGCCGCTTGCAGGACGGTGCTGCTGATGAACCCGTGCGAGGTGCCCGCTGACTTCCTCTCCGTGGCTGAGCAGCTCAGTCGGATTCAGCACTCGCAGAGAGAGACCTTCATCAAACTGATCAAGCACGCCTTCCAGTCCACACTGGGCACCAAATACCCGCTACAGAGCATCCACAGAGCCCTGCAGGTACGTGCTGAGAACTCTGAGATCATGAACTGAAGTCCATTCGATCGTATGTCGAGTTTGGCTTTCTGTCTAAAATGTCCTTTTGTGTAAAGGGGGAGAATTAGAGAAGCAAGTGTAGTACTATATTTCCCCTTTTCACATACATTTTAAGAACATGCACGAGAGGGCTTGGCATGACGCTACAACACGAGGCATACCAAAGAAATGTGTAGCATTACTAAGTTTTAAAGAGGCCAATATAAACCATCAGAAAGTGTGCAGCTACCGGTATTTGCAGAATTAGATAGGACAGCAATGCCGCTATGACTCACATACTTTTAGCTTGCCATCTCATGAAAAACTCTTCGCAGGCAAAAACTGTGACTGATTTGGGGTCCATCTTCTCGGCGGTGAGTGATGTGTTGGAGACGGCGGCGGCCATGAGTGACCCTCTGAAGGGCCGCAGTCACGTGGTCCAGGGACTCGAGCAGCTGAGGGAGACGATGAGAATACCTGCATCCAATGGAAGGAAGTCTGGTAAGTGGGCCGATTTGATTAACTGGGGGATGTAAAGACACTGGATCGCACTGTAGAGACCGTTATTCTTGTGTTGTCCCTTTCAGGAATGCTACAGACTCTACCTTTGCCCACAGCCAAGTGCTACATGTTTCACTGGGAAACAGATAACTTTGGTAAAGTATTCCGCATGATGCTAATGACTCATACACAGGAATATCTTTCTGATTTGACAGACGGACTTCTAGTGTTCTTTCTGTCAGCACCAGGAAATCCGGCATCAAGGATAAACCAAATAAGACAATATCTTTTTTTTTGTATTTTCAGTTCACTTGTCAACTTCAAAATGTGATTCATTTTTGGACTTTTTCAATCCCTGCAGATGTTCTGAACACCCTTTTGGAACACGAGCCTGAGGACCCGGTCATGAACGGGCAAGCTGAGGAGGAGGAGGAGGAGGAGGAGGATGACATGGAGGAGGACGAGGAGACCGGGGTCGATGTCGAAGAAGAGGAGGACGACAAAAACAAATACGAAGAACGTGGAGTGGATTTGCCTTCAATGTCCATCATCCCCAATGACTTCATGGCCAACCACCGCGCCTCCACCTTCTCCACCATTTCCTCCCTGTCCACCGCCTCCAAAGACTCCATGTTCTCCACCTTGTCCGTGGCCTCAGGGTCCTACGCTCCGTCCCTCTTCTCCGTGGCCTCGTGCGGCGACAGCGACTACTTTGACGACTCCGACGACTACATCTGCTCCTCGCCCGTCGCCGAAAAGTGCTCGCCAAAGTCCATCAACAAAGCCTCGGCCCGGCTCAGCCAGCACTTGTACCGACTCTTCATCAAGTCCCCTCGCTCGCTATCCCGGGCCATGAGCCTGGGAAACGCCGAGTCTAAAGACCTTTTAGTGGTGCGGGAGAAGCGCTCCAACTCTCTTCCGCAGCAGGTGATGCTGCGCTCTCCCGAGCCCTTCCTCCAGCCACAAAGCCAGACTCTCAGGCACGTCTGCTTCCGGAGGAGGCCCATTCTCAGCAGCGACGAGGACGCTCAGAACACCACCCTGCGGGTGGTGGTGTTCGGTGCCGATCGCGTGGCCGGGAAGGTGGCCCGGGCCTACGACAGCCTGAGGAGGAAGGAGAGCGCGTGTCCGCGTCTCAGCAGGGCCTTCAAGCTGCAGTTCTACTTCGTGCCCGTGAAGAGGGACTCGGCGGCGGGGAGCCGGAGGTCTTCCGGCCCCGTGCTTCAAACCGCATCGCAGAAAGGAGCGGCCCTGTCTAATGTGAGGAGCGCAGCACTCAAACCAAGCGTCACACATACATACACCGCATAGTATTTAACTGTGCGGAGGAAAGAAGGACTCGTAATGATGCCAATGTTGTAATTGTTGCTTTTGCTTGGCAGGATCTTCTCCTCAAGGGCGTAGCGGACAGCACAAACGACATTGCCCATCTCCTCGGTATGTTGGACCCCTGGTACGAAAGAAACACCCTTACCCTGCTTAACTTGCCGGCCAACGTCGTCTGCCAGGTACAACCGGATTCTAACTCTTACACTGACTAAACAACAACAACAACAACAACAACCTCACGTTCATTTTGCATTGCTCTGCAGCAAACATCAAAGACGGAGTCGGAGTCATACGACGGTTCCAACGAGCAGCGTCTGCCCATCCTGGCCGACTTGGTCCTGTACTACTGCCGCTATGCCGCCCGGCCGGCTCTGATCCAGCTCTATCAGGCCGAGGTCAGACACACTCTTTCACAAATGCAAATAACTTGTGTCCAGTGCTTGATTGTGGGATCCCCGGTGTTGCAGCTGACGCTGGCTTGTGGTGAGAGGAGGACGGAGGTGTTCGTCCACTCCCTGGAGTTGGGTCACACGGCGGGAACTCGCGCCGTAAAGGCCATGGGTGAGTGTGATCACAACCGTGGCAGCAATGCACTCAAGCGGTTTTTAGGAGGTTCAAGCTGAAGTACATTTACAGTAATGGAACGTCAGTTATTTCAATATTGTGATTCATTCCACTTCTACTTTTCTAGTTTCATTTGTGGATCACATTCTTGCTAATTTTCTTTTTAAATTTCCTTTTAGAGAAGTAAAAATTACATTCTGCATCAGGCCATTCGTCGTTGATTCATTTTAAAACAATCATTGCATTGTCACGATCCTTTTGCTCCACATACGTCTCTGTGTTTGCAGTCACAGCAGCAGTACCGTAGCAATACTTTCTTTAAGCGGTGCAACTGAAGCACTGCTCACATGGATCACTAACACACGTGTGCATGTAGGTGCTGCCAGTAAGCGCTTTGGTATCGACGGTGACCGAGAAGCAGTGCCCTTGATGTTGGAGTTGTTGTACAACAGGGTAAGCTAGTGATTTTGTTCAATGTGAAAATAAATGTCTTCGCACCTTAAAAGGAACGATACTCAGAAATAAGAGAACAAAACCTCCCTTCATCTACTTTCGGTTTCATGGGAGGTTTTCTCTTCTCGTTGACCCTGAAATGGTTTGGCCACTTCTCCACACAGAGGAAATGATGCATCAAAATCGTCCAGCAAACAGTCTCCAGCACGTTTCCCCTTTTCCTCAGCACGAAGCATTAGCGACAACCCTCTTTATTGATGATAAGCATCATATTTTTTTTTTTCAATAATCATATCCCTTCTCCCATTCAGGCGGTGATCAGTGGGAGAAGCCAGTGGAGGAGAGAGACCAAAGTCTGCACGTCAGTGAGCTTAACCAAAGCCTGCAAGAATCCCGAAGCGCTAGGTACGCTACCGACACTAGAGCCACTTGAGCTGTGCTCGATTAGAGTGCCGCAGGAACCGCGGCTGAAACCCAGAAATGAGTCAGTGTCTAAAAGTCACTAGGTTTTGTCACCTATTGAAGCTGCACATTAGCTGCGTTAAACAATAATTACTGTTTAGGTTGAAAAGCTCACTGCCCATATTTCAACAAAGCTTTGTGTCCAATGTGAAACGGACATTTTGATACGTAATCATAGAGCAATTCCTGACAGTTATATAAGGGTGTAATCAAAACAATCTCCGCCAGACTCGAAGATGGAGTGCCTGCAGCTCACCATGATGGAGGTGCTGAAGAGACAGAACTGCAAAAGCAAGAAAGGCTACAACCAGGTGAGATCGACGAGACATCAGCCTGTCGACGTGGTCTGTGGTTAAAAAAAAAAAACCACACACACATTCTCTATTTAAATACCTGTGTTCACTCTTGAGAGCATCTGAAACTCCTCTTTCACTCTCTTCATTCTATCATCTCATGTATCGTGAGAACAACATTTTGTCAGCTTGACTGCGCGACAAGCCGCAAGCCTTGTTTTTTTTTGTTTTGCTTCAAAAACAAAAGTAAAACAACTCTGATAAGCTTCAACAGACAATGGACATTGAGTACATACATCCGGCACAGTCGAGAAAGAATATTCCCAAAATCCAGCATTTTCTTGCACAAACAAACTTGTTTATTCATTTTTTCTTTTTTGCTCTCTCTCCTTTTGTAGCAGCTGAGCGTGTCGGAGGTGAAGGTGGACAAGGTGCAGGTTAGCGGTGCTGGAAACACGACCTTTGCTGTGTGTCTGGACCAAGATGAGAAAAAAATACTGCAGCGTGTCACCAGGTCTGCACACACACACACACAATGAGAACTGTCCTAAACACTATGTTTTGATGTTGACATACACAGTGGCACACCACAACTATTTTATCTTAGTTACTGTAATGCGGTGACAGCGTAGCTCCTCTGATCTTTTAACGTCCTCTTGCTTAAATCATTTTCTTTTGTTATTATTGCAACTGCTCATCTTAGCTGCTTCCACTGCAGCCACACACAATTTCCTCACTTGTATAGAAACACACAAACACACGTACTCACACCATCGCGTGTTGTGATTCATGTAACACATGCGTCTCTCTCTGCCCAATATAGATGTGACATATCGGTCTGCTACAAGCCTGACGGCTGCGCCGACTGGAGGCTGAGAAAGGCCCCCAGCTCGGCCCAAATCCAGCCGCTCAACCCCACCTTCTGCTCCCTCCTCTGCCTGCCCATAGTCACTTTTAGTGGGGCTCTTCCCTGAAATTGCCCACTGCTGGATGGAATACCAGATGGTTCGAAAGGAAATGTTCTGATGCTGACTGATGCTGTAGTGCATCAGTCAGTGTCAGTCTGTAGCCTGTCGCGGTCAACGCAAATACAAACCAAAGAGCCACAGAGAAATAGGATGACGCAGAGGACAGCTTTCGCTGTGCAAAGAAATCATTAACTGTTGTTAGGGAAACTGTTGATTACATTCTATGAGTCTCGCTTCCTGTTTTCTTGGTGGTGGAGAAATGACTACACATGCCCCGCAGTAACATCAGAATTTAATTTGGTCAAAGAGGGCGGGCCTACCGGGAGATGTCATGTTGAACAGGACACATCGTCGTTGGTGATTCTGGGCTCGCCGACATGGACACGGAGGACCGGGGCAATAATACATCTGCTGATCAGACTGGACTATATGATGGCTCCATTGGGGGCTATTCCCTGTGTGACTGTATCTGAGAATGGACACTATGGACTTACACGATATGTGAATAATATGTTTGTAAAATAATATATTGCATGCTTTATGTCTGGCATAAAAGGGAATGTATTGATAACATTTCTCCTGAGGAGTAACTGTTAACTGTTAACTGGAGTTTTAAATGTGACCAGCAGGGGGATGTCTTGACACTCCAAAAACGTTCAGTTGAAGTACAGATTACTTTAATAAACTTTAATAAATAGGTCTCACTGTAATAACTGTAATAAATGTAATTTATGTATAAACAATATTTTCTCTCAGCTGCAGTATTTTTTTCTCATCTTGGTCCAGACACTCAGCAGAAAATATTAATTTGATAGTGTGGTGCTAAAAAAATACCTTTATAAAAAAACTGATTCGTTGCACTTTGGATAATGTTTGGCATTTGATATATGTACATAAAATGTTTGTGTTGCTGTAAAGGGACAATACCCTGATCACCTGACCAAGAATGAAATTATAGCACTGCAGGTGAATATCTTGTATCGAATTGGAGCACTTAAACATTGGATTATTGAATTAGGTACTTTATGTTCACATACATGACATGCCTTCTCTGTCGGCGCTATTGCAAATCCATGTATAACACTGTGTTGATCACCTATGAAATGGGCACAAATATCTATTAAAAATGTACGTATTTGATCCTCATTCTGATATTTGCTTTACTTCCAAAAGGGATCCTATCTCTCTAGCTACTTTTCTATGTAAATAAGGTCGGGCTGTATCCGTTCTCTGATTGGTTAGCGACGCGCAGTGACGCGCCATTGATCGGTGGGCGTGGCCTGAGGACAAGCCGCACTGTCAGGTTGAAGCTGGAGGTGAATAAAGGTTCCACTAACGGACCGATGCGGCGATTCATTACTGGAGCTATTCGCACAACTTAGCAACAGGTAAGTTGTCCTAAAAGTTTAAATTCAAGACATTATAGTGAGCGCAGACATTTGTACATTTCTAGTCTTAAGTTTTGGCAGCTCGAAACATGTAACGGAAATTGAGCTGATGCCGTATCTGTGTGTCACGTGTGTGTGTAACGTTATGCAGATAAACACAAGATGTCAGTGGATATTTGATCTAAGGTCGTCTCATGTCTTGTGAGTTGACCTGTTTAATGTTTGCATGTTTAATGACGTTTGTTGTTCCGCAGTGATGCGCTGCAGTTTCTGCTCCGATTCTCTAAGGAGTTGCGCAAGTGTGCGCCTTCCTTACTGTACGCAGCATGTGCCCGTCCGACCCACCGCAGACCCCCGGTCTGCTGTGTTCTACTCTGCATGTCAGCAGATATATTTGAAGTTTGTTTTTTGTTTTTACCATCGTCTCTTTTCTTTTGGTTGATTTTTTATGAATGGGCTCTTTCACTCGTAAGTCAGGTTGTGCAAACAAAAACAAAAAAAAGCCCCTCCACCTCGCTTGGACCTGTGGTTTGTTTCTCCCACCTCCTGAGATTATAAGAGGTTCTTTTTGATCTGATTGAAGCTCCGGCTCTCTGTTGTGTCTGTTGGGAGTCTAACAGCATGGTTGTATTTCTTCCAGCTTCCTTGTTTTCGACCTGAGCTTCCTGGTGCCACTTTGGGCTCAAGGGTATGCAGGCTGGTTTCAGTCTGTGTGTGTGTGTGTCCCTTTTAGTCCCTCTGAAAGCAGTAATTTTGTTCCTGAAAGGTGCCTTTTTAATGGCCTTCATAGGAGCAATTATTGGCTCATGCTTTTCCTTAACAATGAGACATATATTGACACAAGATCACCACACAACGCCCAGCTAAAGACTCTCTACAAATCTGACTGGTGATGTCAGCGACTGGGAGAGGCATTCCAGTAACAGTGACATAGTGGTTTGCCGTCAAAGGAATGTTCATAATTCAGTCTTGAACCGGTTTCTAGAGGAAATAACTCGATGATACAAGGTGACGTTGCGTAACCCTGACGTTGCACCACGGATGGCGAGTAAAACAAATGGTTGAAATCTGCATTTAGATACATCGTTTGTTGTGATGATAACAACCATGTTATGAGACGATCACCGTGACAAAACATGTTACGACCCTGACGTCAACAGGGACATAATGCAGCAAAAGCAGCCTGTGAGTAGTGGTTCGGATTGAAGTGATGACAGGAGAACCATTATCGAAATGTCAACCACGCCGCAAAAACATTGTCTGTCATTAATTATAGGCCTCACCCAACGCCCTTTAAGTTATTCCCGGTACTCGTAATTATACGTATTAAACAGATCATCATGAAACACCACTTATGTCACCCTCTTGTACTAATTATAGCCATATAGTTTGACGAATAGGATACTTATTAAAATGCTAATCGCTTTAACCTAACCAGATTCAGCCGTCACTACATCACTACTTATTCTTGGTTGAGCTACGTTATGCCTCCAAAGAAGAAAAAAATACTTTGACTATGTAGTGAGGAAGTCAAAGGGCTACAAGTGATTTTTACTGTAAACGTTGGCGGCACGCGAGGACGTTCTCATGCAGCCGTCACTGACGTCTGCAGTTGTCAACACGACGAAGCTGCTGGAAAGGAAACGTCCTTCAATGTACAACCGTCTTTGAGCCATGAAGCTTTATGAATAGAACATTCATTTCCTAAATGTGTCTTTGTAATAAGACGCGAGATGGGGAAACAGTCAGCAAACGTATTAACTACTGGACAGTATTTGATTTGTATTCATTTGCACAATGAAACAAATATATATATACAACAAACACAACAACGATGAATAATATCACAGTGCAGGAAGCAGCCTAGTTTATATCAAGCCTTCGCCTATACGATATTAATGTCTTGAGAGAAGATAAAATGGATTTTCATAAGCTATGTCAACATCAAATATCATTCTATCCAGCTGGCGTCAGCCTGGGAGAGGTCATGTGATCGCTCGTCTCATTCTGCCACATGTCCTCTTGTTGGCGATTCCATTGAGGACCTGCTGACTCCTCTCTATTCGGCCCCCGGCTGCCATTTGCGGACACAAATGGTGGTGACCTGAACTCTACTGAGTGCACCTTTTCTACATTTTGGATTTGACTCCTCAAAAAGTGAAAGACGTTACGTTTCAAAGTGGTTGTTCAACCTTGTATTTAAAAAAAAAAAAAAGAAGAAGAAAAAACTCCAGCTTTGTAAAATCCTCCCACACGAAGCAAGCAAGGGTTTGGACTTGGTTGGAATGTTAAACAGTTTGGTTACAAAAATGCGCAGGTGCAAGCTGCTTTTTGAAAAACCGGTTTCCCCCACACGCCTGGCCCCAATCGAACACTTTTCACTCAACTTGTTTTTATAATTGTGATCTCAGAGGACAGAGCCGACCTGTGGCACATGCTGATTATGCCGCAGACTCAAACGGGCTCATGGAGAAGTTCCTCCTGCTGCGGTGAGGAAACCAACTCAATGAGCCCTGTTGTAGCCTCCCCGTCTGTGGTCTTCTCCCCCCGGGGGCTTCGGGGCGACGTAGTTCAGTTCAAGCAGGATAGATTATACGCAGCACGTCTGAAAACTGGTGACACAAAATGTGTGCGGCTCATCTGAGGCAGACGACCAGACATTAATAACTTGAGGTTGAAAGGACAAACATACAAGTCCCCTCTTGGTTGTTTGAATGTTTTATAGAATGAATGAAACGGTGCATTAAAATCGACAAATGTTTCAGCATTTCAATCAAAATGATCCTGGGTAAAGGCCTCGGGGCTTTGGATACGTAGCCTCTCCACTACACCTGCTACTTTTAGCTAGAAGTTGCCTTGGAGTTCCCGGCCCTCTTGCCGACACGCACGTTCCGTTTGTTCCTGGAAAAACACGTCACGCATGTAGGAATGACACCGCTATTCCAAAACCAGAGCGCTCGTTCGCAAACTGCACAACAGGCGCAGGCTCCTTTCAACGTGAGACGCCACCGACCTGCTCGCCACGTATGGGAATGTGAAAACAACAACACTTTTCGGCAGTTCCTGGAAAGCAGTTTCCATTGGGGCG